GCTGCTTGTACAGCGCCCTTTTGATGTCCAAATTTTACATCCTCATAACGTTTGTTTTACTGTGCCCCCAATAAGTCTTATGTCTTATGAGGAAGCAGGATTTCGTTCAGTGTCCCACAACATCAGGAAGCAGGAATTGCTGTAGTGTCCCACCCAAGCGGTCCTATCATGAAGCAGTTTGTGCTTTAGTGTCCGACCCAGTCAGTCTTATTTGGAAGCCGGTCAATAGACACTCTCCTTATGTTTTGTTCGTTTGTTTTTAATCAGTTTGTCTGAGATGGTCCAGGCCGGAATTGTCCCAATTTAAGCCTGTCAACACACATCCGAACTCTCCTTCTGCCTTTTCGTTTCAGTTTGTCAGCTTGTCTGAGATGGTCCAGGCCGGAGCCGTCCGACTTTAAGCCGGTCAATACACATCCGAATTCCTCTTCTGCTTTTTCCTTTCTTTTCAATTTGTCAGTTTGTCTGAGATGGTGCAGGCCGGAGCCGTCCGAATTTAAGCCGGTCAATACACATCCGAATTCTCCTTCTGCCTTTTCGATTCTTTTCAGCTTGTCAATTTGTCTGAGATGGTCCAGGGCAGAGGTGTCGGGAATTCTCCTTCTATGTTATTGTCTCCAGTTATTACAGGCCCACGTCTGCTATGTTGATTTTTTCTTCAAACAGAAACAACCTGTTTCTATTGCGCTACACGGTACCCGAAAGCATACGCACTCCCCTCAAAAATGACTATTTGGCTATTTGTCCACTCTGCTGCTTGCAATTTCCTTTGGCCAAGCAAACACTGCTTCATAATAAGACCTCTAGGGTGGGACAGTCAAGCAAATCCTGCTTCCATGTATATACGACCGATTGGGTGGGACACTAAAGCAAATACTGCTTCATCATAAAACCTTCTGGGTGGGACACTACGGCAATTCCTGCTTCCTGATATTAGACTTATTGTGTGTGGGGCACTAAAGCAAATCCTGCTTCCTCATAAGACTCGACCTTTGGGGGGCAGAAAAAAAATCAAATCCTGATTCTTCGGCAGACCTAGGAACTAGTGTTTGGACACTTAAGCAAATCCTGCTTCCATATGCCGTATACATCATATTGAATTGGGTGGGACACTAAAGCAAACACTGCTTCATCGGAAGATCTTTTGGGTGGGGCACCGAAGCAAGTCCCGCTTCATCATAAGACCTGTTGGCTGGGATGCTAGTGCAAATCCTGCTTCCTCACAAAGCCAGGTGGGGCTGGGACACTAGAGTCGAGCAAATCACCTGCTTCCTCACACGCCCCTCTTGGCCGGCTAGTCTCTACACTACAGAAAATCTTTCTTCCTCGTAGGGCCCGTCAGAAACGATTGCTGAGGCACGAGAACTGGTGGACACCTTGCAGAAAAAGGGCTTCAAGGAGCACCTGACTCTTCAGAGACGCGTGGCGGTCTGCGAGGCGGCTGCCACCCTGAACAAGAATCAGAGGCAGTTGAAGCAGCTGTCAGAGGAGCAGCTGCAGCAGTCTCTGAGCTTGATGGTGGATGCCAAAGTGGAACTGCCGTTGATGATTTTAGCCGGTGCTGTGGATGCAGCGTGCACGAGGAAGATGGCCAGCATAATGAGTGGCGGAGCCTGGACCAAGGCAAGTGCCACCCACATGAACGATTTCCTCGCCATGTGGATGCCCATCTCCCTCAACGACCCCAATGCAGACTTCGACGTGTTGAAGCCGCGCCTGCATGCCTTGGTGACCAAAGTCATGGAAGCCAGCGAACCCATGACTGTCTTTGGAGCTGACAGCCAGGCTGAGCAAGGCGAGGCTGCCGAGGATGACGAGAAGGACGACCCAATGGGCCGGGAGCAGGACAAGGACAAGGAGCCAGCGGACGAGGAGCAGAGTTTGCAGGTGCTTCCGAGTGACCGAGTGTTGATTGGATAGCCGGGTAAGCGAATGTTTGTTCGAGCAGAAATCGCAATAAACGTCCAAATTTCGTACTCTTGCCGCAAGCTTGACTTATGAGTGGCTTGCACATTCTGTATGTTTGAGCACTGTGCTGCTGCTGCTGCTGTGCCTATTGAAGATTGGCCAGGGGCCTACTGACTAGTGATTGTGTAGTCTGGGCCTGTGTTGGCTAGCGGCTAGAACTCTCAGCAGCTAGAGTCTAGAGTCTAGAGCAAACCAGAGTTTCGTCTTCTGGAGTCGAGAGACTACAGAAAAAGAGGAGTCGAGTTCAAGTGTAGGACGACATGGTTCACGGGGCATGTTTTTATTGCTCCACACCGCATAAACTCTAGCACTCTAGCAACTCTAGCAGAGTAGAAAGCCATCGATGTGATTGGGGAACTCAAGTCAGACTGAAATCGCTTGGCAAGCTTCGGCATGTCGGGTTGCTGGTAGCTGGTTTAGTACGCGTGCAAATATATGGCTAGGTCCGGCTAGCGGCTAGGTCTAACTTACTTGTCTGTGTAGGCAGACTATAGTTTCTGTGTTGTACCTGGTTTACTTGACTGCTTACAAGCTTGAGTCTCAGTGCTTACAAGCTTGAGTCAGATTTCTTGATCCCAAGTATGTCAATCTGTCCCTCAGGCGCTCGACCATTGTCACACATCAGTTACTGCTGTGAATCAAAACTTGTTTGCTCTGTGCCAGTCTACAGCCTTCCTTTGCTGTAGCAAAGGACAGCAAAGTAGAGACCAGTCTAACGGAGCCAGCATGGTTCGTGTGGTATGCTGCAGGACGCAAAGCTTTGAATGGTCGGCCTTGTGTCTCTGTTGGTTGTCGTTTCGGCAGGGTGGGGTTGACAGGGCAGGACAAATCAAGTCGCTGCCAGGACCTCCGGACATACCAGCGTTGAGGTTGTCATCATGTCTTGAGCAGTTGTGTGTCCGTGCGACTTGCTTGGTGTGGGTCTCTGTTGTCCTATCGGTCCTATCGCAGAGATTCTGTCTGAATATCCAGACAAGAGGCTTGTGTGCAACATTTTGTATGGTTCACACGCTGCATGCAATGTGTCATGGAAAGGCTACATCGTGTTTCGAGGCACCAGTAGTGACAGTAGTGCGTGAGCATGTTGCAAGCCGGCAAGCCTCGCTTCCAAGAGTGCAATTAGGCCATTTAGGCTTCGGCTTGTGTGCTACTGTGCTACTGATGCTACTCGTCATGTTGCTTGATGATGGGGCCTGATAGGCCTTGACTTTGTTTGCTCATGAGTCGCTGTCAGAGGCTCAACTGACTCTATACTCTATACTTATCCTTATTGTAAGCCTTGTTGTTATTGAAATTTAGGGGGTTGTCATACAGATGGTCCTCGCTCGCAACCCAGCTGCTACTTAACATTGCAGGTCCTCGCGTGCGCCATGATGGACGGCTTTGCAAGCAGCTACTTGACGAAGCTGCTGAAAGACATCCCGGTCAGCAAGTCGAACCAGCAGATCATGGTCAAGATCTGCCAGGCGATGGTCGAGGCCATGGATTTGAGTGCCAACTCCTTGTCCGACGAGCTTTCCGAACTCCCGGAGCAGCTCACTGCCGTCATGGACGTTGTCGGGATCTTTTGCAGAGCCATCCTTGCGATGCTCGTGCCGATCCCGGGGTACTGCGGCTCCTCCGCAAAGGACGTCGTGGCAGTGTCAGCGGCGAAGGAAAGCAGCTTGCTGATGATGCTCAAGAATGAGATGGGGACCTCGTTCTGGAAGCCGCTGGCCCTTGAAGTCAACCTCATGGCCGGAGTGGCGAAGGAGCTCGGACCGCGTGTCAAGCAGCTCTCGGACGATCTCGCGAGAGTGTTAAAGCAGGCAAGCGGACCAGAGGACCTGAATCAGAACCTCGAGATTCTGAACGGCACCTTGAGCGAGCTCCCGCACCTCGTTGCGAACCTGCGGACAGGCGCGACCCAACAGCTGCAAGACCTGCTGCGCCAGGCCGTCAAGATGGTCTCCAAGCACATCGTGCAGGTGAAGGATTTCGCCGGCGAGGAGTCGGGTTCCCTTGCCACGACCATCAGTACCTTCATGGAGAAGCTTGGAGCTTCTGGGTCTCTGCATGATTCTGTGACAGATGAATGGCTTCAGCTGCAGGCATGGCAGGCCAGCTCTGCAGCATCGCTGGCTGAAGCGGAGACCAAGCGTTGGTTGCAACAATGCTTGGAGTCTTCGAGCGATGGGGCGGGCATCGACTTGGAGCAACTTCGCTTCCAACTGCAGCGGCATGGCGGCCAAGGCTTCCCCGAGGACATGCAGAACGACGTGGAGAAGTTGTACATTCCACTGTTGCAGCTTCTGGATGGCACAGCTGCTCGGAAATTGAAGTTGTTGTCACGTTCGCAAGAAGGCCCTAGCTGGCCCTAGCTGGCCCTAGCTGCTGTGCTAGCCGCTGGCAGCGGTTTTTGACTAACAGTAACTAACAGTAACTAACATGATGCAGTGATCTATGTCCTCAGTGTGCTCATTGCTGTCCCTATGTTGTTATGTCGTAACATACTCGTCTGTACTGTATTGCCAGAAAAGGCGCATATGCAGTTCAAGCCCAACTGCATGAGCAGTTTGTTGGTAGGGGTCGAAGTTGTGTCGTGGTCAAACATGATGTACATTTCGTCTTCATTTCGTTGCAAGCTTTTCCTCCCTCACTGCTTGGATGTGTCTGCGCTCCCATAAAGGTTGATGTGTTGGCATCGGCCGTTCGAGAAGCAGTACATACATAAGGGCCAGTGGCAGTGCAAGACAGTTTTTAGGCAGTGGGTGCCATCCCCATTCGGAGGCCCTGGCCGCCCTAGCCCTAGCCGTAACTCTAGCCGCCGCTAGCCGCCAGCCATCGTGTCAGTTCATGAACCAATTACTTTGCCCCAGAATTTGCACAGTACTCACACTGTGGAGAAAGATTTTGTTTCTGTAACACAATGCCCTAGTGTGCCCTACAGGGCCCTACAGTGCAGAGAGTCCAAGAGGCTCTCATTCATAAACCGATCGGATTTGAAGCCTGCCTGACCTCAGGTTTCGAAGCACGGCAAGGACCGCGAGAAGATGGAAGGGTTTGTGCAGGTGATGACCTGTTCATGCAGACGGTGCCTTGCAGCCAGGCGGACGTGACCATGGTGAATGCCGTTCTGAAAATGGTGACCTCTGCGTGCGACTTCATGAAGATCGAGGCTCACTACCTGTCCTTGGGCAACACGATCAACGAGTGTGTGCGCAGAGATGTGAACAGGGTCACCTTTGACAAGATGTTGAGGGCCTCCTTGGCATATGCCAAAAGCGTCAGGGCTGCACACGATTGCCAGAACGAGGAGCCGACCATGAGCCTGGGGGATCCGCCGATTGCCGAGGTGGTGAAGGATGTGAAGGTCAGCGACATCAGCCGCTTCTCTTTCTTGATCCAGAGCACCGACAAGATCTACGATGAGGCTGTCAGGAAAAGCCCGACGCTGAAGGCGGCGTCGGTGGAGCATGTGATGGATTTGCTCAAGGACATGGAAGCTGCCTGTGAGCAGGTGGAGGACTGTGGCGGTGGCTTCGAGGTCTGCCATCCGAACACATGCTGGAAGAAGGGCTTGGACAACTCAGCTAACGAGGACTTGCAGAAGATCCTCATGGCGGCAGCCACCACCGTGTCCACCTGCGATCCTAACACGATGGCGAGGCATCTGGCTGCTCTGGGCAAGGCCGATTTCGTACGATACATGTCTGTATGTTGAGCCGCATGACCCTAAGTCTTTGGTCCTCTGAGTTTCTCGAAAAACGTGTTAGTTGGTTGCGGCACCAACAAGCCTCAGGCCTAAGGGCCTAGGGCCCTAAATGCTCTAAAGTCCCTAAATGTGTGTAGTGATGTATTAATATATTGATGTGCGAGCAAAATCAAAATAGCAGACGTTCTTGTCGCGGCCTGTGGACTCATAGATATGTTGCCTGTTGCCTTTTGATTAGAACAGAATACCAGAATCACTAGATGTACTTGTCGAGGCCTGGCACCAAAGTTCAAAGTCCAGAGACCGAGGCCTCAGTCATTGAGTCCAACAAGAAAGTCAGGAAGTTAAATTTTTTGTGGTCATGCATGTCACAAGTCATGTGGCGCGGTTGGAGGTTTGCAGTTTGCAGTCTGTTGGTTATGTCGGTCAATGTGGGAAGTTGTACGTCTGTCTTTATTTTTACATCTACTGCGTCATTACGTCCATGTCGAGCCAAAAATGCCTACAATGCTGTGTGTGTTCAAATTGTCATGCTTGCGGTGTTTGCCCCGGAAAGTCTCGAGTCTAAACGTGTTTAAACATTGCCTACTTGTATAGATAGGGTGGATGTTGGCTATTGAATTAAGCGTGCCCGGGTGAAGTGATCATTGCTGAGTTCATGGAGACTTGAGAAACCAGGCCTAAGGCCTAAGAATTGTGTTGTAGAGTAGTGGGTAGCAGCCGGGTTGCAGGCAGCAGCAACTTCGCCAACACTTTTGAAGGATTGAGGCCACATCAAAGTTGCAATAATCAATGTAGTCAATGTAGTCATGATGTCTCCCCGGGCTTTGCTGACATGGAGCTGGCTGTTGCGTGTACACATTTGAAAGGATTGGCTAGATATAGAATCTAATAGTGCAAAAGAGTGGCATATCGGCATATCTAATGAATCTACGTAATGATTTCGGTTTGCTACAGTGCAAGCACCACATGTCAAGCAACGGAAAAACTTCTCGAAATTTGCCCGGCCCTACGACCTACGTGCACTTGGATTGGAGACCTGGCTCTGCATATACTATACATGGTGGTTGCTAGGCCATGCAATGTCCAGGAAGTGTGATGCTGATACCCCCGTTGGTGATGTCTTCAACATCGAGACTAATGACTAAAATGTGATCACTGATGCAAGTATACTTTCACTGACTGAAGGTGCAAACTCAGCACACGCTGTTCGAGAAGAAGTACGGCCAGTCCCTGAGCTACATGGGTGTGACAGAGGCGAAGCTCCTGCAAAAGGCGAACAGCCGAGCCCTGACAGCTTTGAAGTTCACGAGGGCACTTCACACGGAGGGCCTCTTGGTCTATTGTGCGCAAGGTGAAGATGAGGAGGAGGCAAGGAAAAGTGCAGATGAGCAGATCAAGAAGCTTGCATCGGAGACGGTGGACCGTGACCTCGTCCATCCAAGGCTCATCGCATTGGCAGAGAGCCTGGTGAAGTGAGGCAGCGGAGCAGACCGTAGCTGCCGTACTTGCTTCTGTCAGCTGCTCGTGACTCTCGCTCTTTGCTCTTACTGCACGCCGCCACAAAAGGCGAAGCTGCGCAAGCATCACCGTCTGTTCCTCGCTGCTTTGTGAAGTAGCACGTGAATAGAATCGAATAGAATCGAATAGAATAGAATGTACAGTAGCCAGCCCAGTATCAGCAGCAGCTCGCAGCTAGAAGTTCGCAAAATAGCAGCTCGTCAGCCTGTCCTTAACTTCAGCACCGAACAAAGTAGATTCTTGAAGTTTTAGATGTGCTGCACAATTCGGAGCAGCTACTGTCAGTTTTTGTTTCAGCCTATGACGCAGACATAGCTGACTTATGCATTCAGTTACCCCCGTGCGGTTGTGTAGTCAGCGTAGACGGCATAGGGTCATTTAGCCCGATCAGCTCTTCTTGCTCGGGCCCGGGTTCATTGCCACATATTTCAGTTAGCAAGTAACAGAAGTAACAAGTACTAGTTACTAGCTGCTAGCTGTACTAGCTTCTTGCTGGTAGCCGCTTGCAGCTTGCTTGCAAGATGGTGAGCTTGCGCAGTCAGATCAATTTTCCTCTTTTTAATTGTTCGTCAACTCATGGTCTGCTTCCATCCGACTTGTTGAGTTGGGTGATGCCGGCTTGGAGAGGCGCTGGGCAGCAAGCAATCTGCCACAATCATCAGTTTCGCCCTTTGTCACATAGAAGCCCGAAAGTTGTGCGCGGGATCACTGGATCCAACATAAATAGAGCATAGCGCGGTTAACGGTTAGCGGTTAGCTGTCACGGTTAGGGAGTTTAAGGCTTGCCAGACAATGTAGTTGTGTTTTTGCTACAGTTACAGTACAGGTACTGTGTACATGCAATGGGACCCAACAGTTGGTAGAAAGGCAGCCGAGCTGTTGTTTGCGGGCCACGGTGGCGAGAGAGGCGCTTCTGCACCATTCCTGGTCATAGTCATAGTCATAGTCAGAATCATGGATCTTTCGAAAGAGATTCTCTAGAGACTCCAGAGTAGACTCTAGACTCTAGACTGTAGACCATATGCCATATGCTATAAACATAACTGGACATTGGATTCCAAGCTCAATTCTCCAGACTAGTTAAAGGCCACACACTGGATGCTGGTTGTGGTTTCTGACTATATGATTATTGCCTCGGATGCAGTGCACTTTTGCTTTCAGGGCTTTCAGTCCTCAGCCTCAGCGAAAGTTCGACAGAAGAAGGACTTCGACAGGACTCTTTCCGAAAAAGACTCCTGGCGTGCCTGCTGCGAGTTTTCTCATTTGGAATATGGCTTGGCTATGGAAGATGTATGGAATGATTTTCCGCATATCTATATCATATTCCATTTTTTGATAGATTGAGAACCTTCTGAAGCTTCCGGTCCTATTGATCCTATTGATTGGCAATTATGAACCGAGATGTGGGTGCTGCACATGGTGGATATTTGCAATGGTTTTCCACATATATATATTTTTTTTTCCGGTGCTTCTGTGCCTGAGAGACCTTTCAACTTTCATAGCCGGAGTTGTGATCAAGTGGTCATTGCTGCGAGTCTTGCCATACGACCGAGATACGGATACGAACCGTGACAACTCCATCCGATCCCACCTTTGAGAAGTTCCGTGATAATTTCGCCTTGGCTTTGTTTCGGGGAAAGACTGTCGTGGAATTGTCAGCGCATGTCTGTTGCCCGCATAAATGTAGATGTAGACGTAGACTGAAATGGGATTGTGGGATACCCGGATACGTAAAAAAAATCACATTCAGGTCCTTCCAACTACTCTACCCGCCCTGATCTTGTCTTCTGTTTCATACACGTTGATGTTCTTCAAGTTGATGTATTGATTTAACTCTTTTTGTTTAAAATCCTATGTCTAGTATTCTAGTGTTGTTGTCGCATTCTCTTTTGCATCAGTCAGCTTCTTTCCTATTACAGTATTAACTGTATTCACACTGTATTCATTTCCCCCACTAGCTGCCACTAGCTGCTAGCTTAAACCCTTTATCGTACGTGACTCCTCGTTGTCCCATGTATTTCCTATTTCCCGTATGTGTTTGTAGTTCTGATTTTTGAGTTCCTATGTACTTCCGATTTTTTATACTTGTCCCAATAGCTTCTCATTTTGTTGTAGGTGAATCAGAGTTTTCCTATTTATTTCCTGTTTTCCTATTTTCCTATGATTATCGTATTTTGGCTACTGCTTTGTTTCATACTTTCTCTAATAATTTCTTGCTTTGGTGTTAAGAGAATCTTAATTTTCCTATGGATTTCCTATTTTTTTGGTATTTGTCATAGTAATCTCTTATTTTTATTGTATATGAATCAGAGTTTTCCTCTGTATTTCCTATTTGTTTCATATTTTTGTCCTATTTTTCCTATGAAAATCGTATTTTTTGTGTAAAGTTTGTTGGTGGCTCCGAGTGGTTCCTATTTTCGCTGTATTTTTTCCTATTTTTTTCCTATTTTTTTCGTATTTTGTCCCCTATTTTTTTCCTATTTTTTTGTATTTTCCGATCCGCAGGTCGTAATTCCAATTCGTATTTGTTTTGTATTTGAATCGTATTTATTTCGTAAATAAATAAATCCTATATATCGAGACATTTCCATATGCTCGAACGTCTTAAGTGTAGGGTTTGCCGTACCCTATAACTACAACCCGCTTTCTACTCCACCCTGAACCCAAAACCTCAGAACCTACAGCCTAAACCCCTAAACCCTGAACCCTAAATCTCAAAACGCACAACCCTATACCCTACATAAGCCCTAAACCCCCAAACTTACAACCATAAACCCTAACCCCAAAGCTTACTGACTGTTGTTCCCAAACGTTGTCTTGCCTCGAGGCCTCGTCATTTGCGACTCGACCAGGTCTCCCGCACACGATTCTTGATCAGGGTCCGGGACCGTTAGGGTTTTTGTTAACGGTTTAGGGTTTAAGGTTTCTGTTCGATATTTTGTGCGTTTTGCGTCGCATTGGGGTTTTAGGGTTCAGGGTAGGTCGTCGTTAAGGTCTTGGGGTGCCCGGAGTTGAGGTAGACCTGTCACCTGTGCCCGCATAACCCGTGTCACTTGTGCCCGCGCATCGCGTGTCGCTCGTGCCCGCGTAGGTGCCTGAAATCACGGCAGGGCCACACTTTGGGCCACTTGTCGCGAAAACGTGGACCTGTCACTTGTGCCTACGTTTCGGTCTTTAAT